TTTCACCTGTCAATTTTCTAGGCTAAAACCCTCTTTAAAGAAGAGGTTTTAGGCATCAGAATGCCACCACAAAGAAAACTGTACAATTTAATGCTCTAATCCAGTCCTCTTGCCTGCTGGGCAATGGAATTTACCAGAATCCTAATCCTAATCCCTTTCCCTCACGAGATGAGATGGGAATGAATATTTCACAAGCAGATCAATAATTTTGTGAATTTAAAGACAGTGCATATCATGATAAAGGGTTCAACGGAACAAGTAATTGGTTTGATCCAGAGTTGGATTCTGAGAAAAGGATTTTGAAACCAACTCTAGTAACCACAGTGTCATGGAAAGAAGACCCTTTCCAGGGCTCTTTGTTTGTAATTCCATTTGAGCCTAAATAGGAAAGGGAAGCATGAACCTCATGGGCCAAGAGGGCTGTCAACTTCTCCATCATTCTTCACCCACTGGGATCACGTCTGAACCACAATTCAGGTAAATCTTTCCCAAAAAGGAATGTGAATAAGTATTCCCACAGGAATGTGAATAAGTATTTGTGCTGAAAAAGGTTATTCAAATAGTTTGGAGAGCTCAGCGTTAAAGTCTAACACACCTGGTTGTCCCAGTACAACTTAGAGAACTTCACATATTCATGAACTTTGGAACTTCCAAGGGGGGGGGGGGGGTGGTCCCAAGACATTGGCTTCCCAATTTGATTCGACGAGGAACCATATTTTTCAAAACCTGTCTCTTGGGATAAGTGTTTTGTGTCCTGGGCCTTGAGAAATGCTGATCTAGGGAAGCCAACATTGAATTAACCGAATTTAGTGATCTCTTGTCATCCACAAGACAGTAAAAATTTTGTGTGGGGATGAGGTGGGGAATTTCTAGAAATCTATGTTATTAGTTAAAACCCTTTTGGGAAGGTGAAGCGAGATTTAGAGGGGGAAAAAGTCAATGAGAGCCCTTGGTATTCGTTATTTAAGACATCAAGTTTCCAAACATTTCATATTTGTAGGGGTTCCAAATCTTCTCTGAGACCATGAGTAAGATTCACCTTTTCTGTTTCACGGAGTGTTCATGTGTAAAATGAGGACAGCGATGGCCACCTTACAGGGTGGGTGTAAGGACTAAAAGGGACAATGTATCACAGGCACACAGGATAAAGCGCATAGGTGTGGTTTTGTTCTCATCATGGTTAAGTGGCTTTTGGAAGGACTCAAGGTGGCACCTTTGTTTTTCAAGGGTTTCAAGGGTCTTCAAGCAGGTTATTGTGGTTTAGATATGAGGTGTCCCCCAAAGCTCATGTGTGAGACCATGCAAGAACATTCAGAGGTGGAATGATTGTGTTATGAGAACCTTGACCCAATTAGTGAATTGATCCCCTGATGGGGATTAACTGAGTGGTACCTAAAGGCAGGTAAGGTGTAGCTGGAGGAGGTGGGCTTGGGCGCATGCCCTTGGGGTATATATTTTGTATCTGGTGAATACAGTCTCTTTGCTTCTTGAAGGCCATGTCCTGACCTGCTTTCCCCTGTCACACTCTTCCGCCATGATTTTCTGCCTCTCCTGGAGCCCTGAGGAATGGAGCTGGTGTCTATGGACTGAGACGTCTGAAACTGTGAGCCCCCAAATAAACTTTTCCTCCAAATTGTTCTTGTCAGGTCTGTTGATCACAGCAGTGGAAAAGTTGGCTAAAACAGAGGTGGTGGTGGGTTCATATCAAGATCTTCATGCTCAGGTCCCTATTCAGTCCCAGTGAATTGTAACTTAGTGGTGGCAGTAGGGCAGGATGCATGTGTCTTTTAAAAGCTTCCCCAGTGATGATTGGGATACACCCTAAACTCCTGTAATATATCTGCAGCAAATTTTCAAGTGGGGATGCTACTCTTCCTATGGTGGTTCTGGGACACATTGCTTAGAATAAAAGGTTTCTGTTCTTAAATGTTAAGAAATGCTACACACTGGCACTTGGCCCTTCTCCTCCTTGGGGATTATATTCAAGTATCAGAGAAGGTTAGTGGCACATAATATTTAAATTGTCTTCTCACCTTATTTGACCTTGCAACATTTTTCTTGCAACTCTCATCTGCATCTTTGACCAACATATTTGAGAGATCCTACATGATACAGTTAGCCCAAAGTGAGTTCTATCCATATGTCTTTTGCACTAAAGTATAGGGGAGAAACAAGGTAGCAAAGAGTAGTCAACACTATTGCCCAGACAGTGGGTTGAGATCTAATTCTTTAGTTCTATTACTTTAATTCTTCTTGCCACCTGATACTTTTATGTGAAAAGATTATTGAAAATAATAAATACGTGCTTTCAAGTTAGCATCTCTGGGTAAACTCAGGTAACAGTCAAATAGCCATGGAGATGAACTAGTACAGACTTTAAGAGCTGAGGCTCTGGACAAACCCGGCTTTGAGTCCTAGTTCCCACTTTCCCTGGCTTAGTGATGCTGGGTGAGTTATGTGACCTTTCTGTGCTACAGTCTCCTTACTGCTCAGAAGGGACAGTGGTAGTTCCTATCTCTTGTGTTGTCACGAGGATAAACGAGATAACCATGCAAAGCCCTCATTATGGGCCCAAGTTCACTATTGTATTAAAAATGCTCTTGAACAAAAGGAGAAGGAGAATTAATCCAATAGCAGAGAACTCTGGAAAACGTCAAGCTCCTATACATCTTCTTTCCACAAGTGAATTGACTTTATTTTTCAAGCCAAGTGCCTTGTGAGAATTCAGGGCGAGACTTTGAGAGACTTACTGAGTTGGCTGGTCTACGGAGTGTGAATGACCCTTTCCCCTGACTTCATTCTAATCCCCAACCATCTAATTAACATGCATGGAACGGTTTGGGAGCTACTGCCAAAGATGATGTCACTGGTTGAAAGGCAACAGCATTGGCCTGACTGCCAGAGAGAGTTCAGAGCGGTTCAGAACTGGATGAGAATGTCGGGGTTATGGAGGCTGAGGGGCGAGATTTGTGAGCAAACAGAAATTTACTATAAGAAGCAGGAGGAAGGGGGGAGGAGGAGGGAGGACGAGGGGAGGGGGAGGGGGAGAGAGCGCCTCATTGTAGTAGTCAGGCTAAGACGTCAGTGTTATGCACATGTGTGTAATATATATTTCTTCCTGTAAATAAAAACGAGTAGAAAGGTTTGAAAACCTCTGGCCAAGAAAGCATGCCGCAGGGCTTTGAAGCCAGGTCAGGTTGTTGCTGTTCGACGAGGCTGACTTGGTAAACTCAGAGCAGATCTCACCCTGCCTTTTCATCAACATGGGGGTGATTCAGTGACTGTGGGAGGGACAAGCAAAGAGTGAGAGACTCAGGGGCCAATGCCTAGTTCCAGAACTGCCCAACAGGCAGACAGTTGTGGTGACAGTGGCAGTGTGATGACACAGGGGTGGGGGGTAGAGGGGTGAGACAAGCCCATTTCCAGTGCAGCAGTAATAGTTGGCCCCTACTGTGCATTCCGCAGGTGCCACGCCCTGTATTTTGTTGTTTTACTCTCCTTGTCCCCGTTGACTCTCCCAGCAAAACCCTGGAGTAGCTGTGAGCATGCCATTGAAAGAGGGAGAAAAAAAAATTATGTCATTTGCAGGAAAATGGAGCCTGCAGACATTCTGTTATGTGAAAAAAAAAGCCAAACTCAGGTGGTCAGGGGTCATATATTTTCTCTCATATGTGGAATTTGGAAAAAAGGAAAAGAAAGGTGTGTGGTATAGAGATCTCATGAAAGTCCAAGGGAGGAACAGGACCAAGGGAGGGAAATACTGCAGAATGATATTGGCCAAACTGTATTATGTGCATCCATGAATAAGTGACAACGAGTCCCATCACTAGGTACAACTACAATGCACCAGTAAAAGTGTGGAGAAACCTAAAACGTTGAGCATTAAATAGAGGAGGAGACCACAGACTTCTGAGAATTAGATCAATCACACACAATAAACCATGAGGATTGTTCACCAGGGAGTGTGGCATGGGGCAGGGAGAGCTGAACTCTGGAGAAGAGTCAGTCTAGACAGCTGCACCCCTGCTCAGGAGACTCTCTGAGGAACGGACCATTGGTCTTCTTTCTCCCGAATCCTGTGACTCATTCAATTTCTCCCAAGCCACAGGCTGGTGGAGTGAAGAGAAGCCAGAAAAATCTTATTATTTTCTATGACAAGATAAAGGTGACAGGTTGGAAGTCAACACCTACAAAGGGAATTTTATAATGAAAACTAGAACGTGACACCCAGCTTCAGTGAGTCAACACACGGGTTGCCTAAAAAAGTCATTGATATTAGTACCAACTATTAACCAGTCTCTCCCTGTGCTTTGTCTTCGTGCTAAGTCATTTGTGTGCATATCATTTCGTCTTCTAGAATAACCCTGTGGAGAGGGTACGATTTTTGTCCTCATTTTCTAGATGAGGGTGCCTAGGGTAAGAGACAGGTTGTAAGTGGCAGGGTTTAATCTTTAAACTCAGCTCTATCGATCCCAAGAGTCTGAGCTGGTAACCACCATGCAAAACAGCTTCTCCATGACATCCAAGGAACCACTGATATAAGTGCAATGGCTCCCTGAACTCATAGAGGCTTCAGGACTGTTGAGAAGGCATGCATGAGTGGAAAATAGTTATTTATTCCTTGCTGTTTAGAAGTGGCCAACGGAGTATTAAAGATTCAAGGAGGGAGTGGCTACTGCAGCTGAACTGAGCAGAATGAGTAGGAGTGGCTGACCCCATAGCAACTGAACAGCCTTTAGTCTCCTGGGTTTTCAGAACCAGTCTGCATTAGAGAACTTGAACACTTTCAGAAAGCCATTTAGCAAAGCCTCAACTTCCTCATCTGCAATATGGGTACTCTTCCCATCTCACAGGGGTGCTGGGAGGATGAAGTGTTTCTGAGGTGCTTGGGACAGAGTCATCCAGTCCTGTTTGCACTACCTTCCAGTTTAACTTTCCAGTAGAAATAGCTCGCTTCTTCCCTCTGACCTTACCACCGAAGAGCTTAGAAAAAGTCCTACCTGCTGGGAGAAGCCCCTCACGACACATCTTTGCTTGAGGTTTGTCTCTCCGTCCAAGTTGGCCGTCTCCAGGTGGCAGATCCCGCTGGGGTCTGAGGAAAAGAGGAGGAGTGTGTCCGCAGGGATGATCTCATTGCACTGCATCTGGATGAAGTCGCCCACGCGCACATCCTTCCAGCACCTCTGCACGTAGCGCTGCTGTTTTCTTGGGGGACGAAAAAGACAGGGGTCTCAGTGAGCTTTAAGATTCCCCAAAAAATTAATAAATGAATGGAAGAAGGTCCTGCCAGCACTTAGCAACCTCCCTGGTCAGCCTGTCACGAGACTGTTCTGGATACTATCTTCCCCCAGAGGACCACCCTTATGATCTCTCTCTCGAAGACCGAGACATGGTTTGTAGAAGCCCACCAGGGAAAGATTTCTCCTGGTGATGATTTTAGCATTTTGATTGACTGCCAACTATTGACCAGGTAACTGTGCTCAGCCCTTGCTTCTTAGCAGGAGAAAAATTCCAGAAGAAAATGAACTCTACTTCTATTTTAGTGAAACTCTTCATTTATATAATTTACCAACATAACCAGAAATCATTGAAGAAAAGAGGTTTGCAAAGGTTTGCAAAGAAGATTGCTTTGATCATAGGCGGGGGCAGGGGGAGAGTGGCTTTGGGCGGGGCTGAGTTGGGGATCAGCAGATGAACACTTGCCTAACATGTGTGAGGCACTGGGTTCGATCCTCAGCACCACATAAAAATATATAAGATAAAGGTATTGAGTCCTCTACAACTAAAAAATAGATTAAAAAAAAAAAGAGAGAGAGGTGGGGATGCTGGTCATTATTTAGGAATATTTGAAACAGTGATAAAATAGAAAACCTTAGGTAGTCAGGGCATTAGGAAGAAGGCAACAGGAATTTCGATGGGTTGGGGGAAGCCGAGGGGAAGACATCTTCCCATTCAATTTGTCAAGCTGAGATATCAGCAGTAGCGGTAACAATTGAAAATTTAGCATTTCTAATTTGCCGAGCATGGGGGCTAATGTTTTGTTCAGTTGCTTAATGATCCATCGTGTAGATTTTATCATGCCCATTTCCCAGATGAGGAAATTGAGGGTCAAAACAAAACTTTTCCCAGTCTCACAAAAAAAGAGAGCCGAGTCCTGAGCTTGAACCCAACGTGACAGTGAAGCTCACAGGTTTCATCAGGTGGCATCCAGTGTTCAGCCTTTTCCAGGGGCCCCACAGGATCTCCCCATTTTTGAAGGCAACACACTCCATTTTCCATAGAGCTCTTGGTCCAGAAAGTCTTCCTGAACATTTAAAGAGTTCTGTTCTCTTGGGTAATCTGATCCAACCCATCTTCTGCTTTTAAAAAAAATATTTCTAGGTCCTCATGAGAGGGTCCTATGAAACCTTAGCACAGGCCAGGCCAAATTCAACCTTCCAGGAGTCCTAAATTATTTCTTGAATGAGTTTGAAGATCTGCCCTGGAGGTGTGGGATCTTCTAAGGCTGCATTTGGAACGTTCTTCTTCTGGGATTTGGAACCAAACCAGTATTCCACATGGGGTCTTTCTACCTGAGCCCCGGAAGCTTGAAGCTGGGGGTCTCCAAGGGCAATGGTCTGGAGAGGCCCGACTCCTCTGCTGTTTCTACACAGATGCTGCCCTCTCTGGGCTTGTTACTGTTTCTTTTGGAATCTGAGCTGTCTTGGGCAGGACAAGATCACTCTTTCACAGAGAAAGGGATGTGAACAAAAGTACCTGGGAGGTTGAGGGGTTTGATGTCTTATTTTCTTGGGGCTCCCCTGCTAAGAGTCCATCTTACTGGTCCTAAAAGGTCCTGCCAGGAGTCTCCCTCAAGCCCTTGAAATGAAGGTGCTTCCATTTGGAAGGATGAAGGAAAACCTGATCAGTCTATAATAAACAGGGACATTTGAACTGGGGAACTAGCTTATCACTCAGGGTTCTTTGGCAGTGGCCCATGGCCCTGGGGACTCAATGCAGCAGACTCAGTTGAATCAAAGCATGGGCTATGTCATCCCAGTGACTACCGAGACCACTTTTGCATATTTGGTGGCCGAGGAGAGTAAAGTGTCTGTAGCATTTTAGTGAGAATTCTTTCTTTCATGCAAAAAAGCATACAACAGGTTTCCAAGCACCTTTCAATTGATTATCTCAATCTATTAAATACCACTCTGCTGAATATCACTTTTTAAAAAATGAAGAATAGGGGTGGTTGCCATGGTTTTCTGTCCATGTCACTTCAGAAATATGTTTGAAAATATGCTTGTCTATATATTTAGGTCAGATACCTCACCACCACGAGTGCCATTGTGACTGTCAAACACTTTAGGGTCCCTCTGCCTGCTCTGGGGACAGTAGTTTTTTCTTCAAAGCAGCTCTGGGATCACTTGATCAATATTCAAGTATAAAGCTCTTTAAAGGCACTGGAAAGGCTCGTAATGTCAGTGAGAAAAGGAATCTCAAGAGTCAAGAGGGGACTGGTTCTCTATTGTAAATTTTTCTTTCTTTTTGAGAAAAAGCTTAATAGAAGAATTTTTAAATATTGTAGCAAAAATTGCCCCCAAGGAACCAATGATTATCTATAACACATCAGCACCACCCCCCCCCCTTTCCCAACCCCTTCTAGCTGCCATGTTCCACTGGAGAATTCCTGGGAGAATCTCAGCATTCCACCTGGTATTGGAGCTTGGATTTAGGGAAAACACCGTCGACTCTGAGCAGCATCCCGATGGCCAGTGCTTCCAGAGGACTCTGTTTCTGAAGGTTTTGGCAAACGGTGAGCTGGTGGCTGAAGCACCACCCTCTGTGAATGTTGAATCTCACTCATTCCTTCCACTGCTTATTCTGGGACATGGGTGAGTAAGATGACGGAAGGAGGAGGACTTCGGAGATGAATTTAGGGCATGCCCAAGTTCAAGAAGAGTCAGTTATGGGAACTGGACTGAAACGTCTTGTCAATCCCCATCATGACGAAGGCAACACAAGATCAAGGAGCCACCCACAAGCCACAAGTCAGATCTGTGCCTGTCTTCTGTATATCATTCCTTGGATCCCAAGGAAGTCACCACTGGACTGGCAGCAGAGGCCCTGTTGTTCTTTTAGATGAAATCTTCCCTTCCTTAGGATGGCACCTGGCAGTGAAGGGACCTTCCTGGGGGCAGGTCCTCCCCAAGACAGAGAATGCCCTTCTCGAATAGGCAAACGTGCATACCTCTCCCAGGATACCCTGTCAGGAGGAGTGACACTAGGGCACCCATGTGATTTCAGGGTGTTCGTTTAAAAAACTGTGCTTTGGGAGGACAGAGTTTGAGTGATTGAGCCGATACACAATTTGAACAATGACATCTATCATGAGCTCACTATAGTTATGCTATACAATCAGGCAAATGTGATAGGACTTTGGGGTATTTAAAAAAAAAAAAAGAGACTTGAGGGACATGTCCTCCTTGCATTTGGTCACTCTGTACTTGTCACCCCATTCTCCAGGGTCTGTTTTGTCCCCTGAGCTATCAGGACTGTGGAGAAGCCAGGGATGCACAGCCCGAGGGGGTCAAGCCAGCAGAGGTGACACAAGTGGCAGAATCTAGCTGAGGCGTAAAAGCAGCATGCGTCTGCACTGAGTGACGCCCAGATGCGACCAGCAGCTGGCTGGGAGCCGCCTGTGGGAGCCGTTCCCTCATTAATCCAGCCCATTTGGAACAGCTGCCCCAGGTGGACGCACTGATACACTCTTGATGGTCCCCCTGCTCAGTGAGTCCGCACCTGGGAACGGAGTGCTATTTTGGTTTCATGCTCAGGGCTGCTTAAAAATAAGACAAATCAACGTGGCTTGGGACAAAGGCTCCATCTGGCAGATTCCGCCTGGAGGAGAAATTAAGTGGTGCAGTGTTAAGCAGCTTTCCGAAAGGAGATGGGGTTTATTAAAAGGTAAATAGACAGCAAGAGAGGTTTGTAACCAACTGTAGGCCAGAGGGGAACAGGTGAGAGGGGGAGGAGAGAGGAGGAGAGGATGCCAAAGGCATAAAAAAGAATGTCAGAGAACTGACAGTGTCAGGAGGATCAGCTGTCTGGAGGAATCTCCTAGTCAAAGTACTGTGATGAGCTGACCTGGGCTGTCTTTCAGGAGCTCCAACGCCAGGCCCAGAAGGCTTCATGTGGCCACCCCAGGGTGAGGGGAGAACCCCAGGAAGGAGGAGCACCATAGAGGAATCAAGAGCATCTTTGAATCCCTGCTTCACTGCTCTGACCTGTGTGACTTTGGGCAAGTTACTTAACCTCTCAGAGCCTCTGACCCTTCCAGTAAAAGATAACATGTGCTCTTGCCACAGAGAGGTGATGAAAAAGAATTGCCAACATGACCACTGTGGGGCACTGGGCTCAGACTCGGTCCTTAGCAAGTCCTCTTTAAATACCAGCTTCTTCATGACAGGATGAACATGCCTGTTAATGTTGTTGTTTTATGGCCCCCAGTGTTTTCCTCTTCATTCTGTTTTCTGCTGACAATCACATTTCATGGCTTGGGCTGAAGCACAACCACCACACACACACATACGCACAAACTAAAAATCCAAACCTTTTCCCCAGCCTTGCAAAGAGGGACTGAATTTTAGCAGATCAAATATTTCTGACCCTGGAGCATGGCTACCGGGGCAAATTCCCAGAATTGCATGTCCTTATAGTCAGGGCCAGAGGGGACTTGATAGATCTCCAATACTGACCCACATTCTTCAGATGAGGAAACTGAGACTGGGCAGGGAAGGGATTTCGTGGCCAAGGTGCACAGTCACCACTCAGGCTGGACCTTCTTTTTATGGCTCCCACGAGGAGAACCAAGGGTCTGGTGGCTGGTTTAGGAACACTCAGAATGCCCGGCTTTTTGGATAGCTATGTGTTGAGGCCACCTTGTAGTAGAATGGGTAAGAGCTTTGGAGTCAGCTGAACTGGATTGGCAACCTGGCGCTCCCTTTTACATGGAGTGCGACCTTGAACCTGCTACTTAACTTTCTGATCCTCAGCTTTTTCATCTATCCAGTGGGTCAAACCTCTCCTACAGGCTGTGGGTGAAAGTTAAGATAGCATATGAACAGTACCTAATTACCTCCCAGCAAACGGCATTTATAGCTGCTAAAGTGTCCCTGCTGCCATCACCAGCTTGGAGCAGGAAGAATCATGGCTGGGGAGACAGT